CGTGTATACAATCATCCATCTATCCCTGGCTCTCCGCTTTAAAAGAGTAAAGGTGCGCTCGCGACCCACGTGCAAACATAACCGCGCTGATCATCCACGAGCCCGATCGAACCAAAAACCTTTACGCCGAATATTTCTCCGAAAAGAAAGAAAGACAGCTTCTTCATCCCCTCCTTTTTTTAACACGTTGACTACCAGTCTAGAATCCTAAAATTGTTTACGAGACCAAAACTCTGATTTTAGGCAATTGTAAACTACACAACTTAAAAGTTATCGTAATAGTTACTTTTCTAACCTCATCAAAATTTACGAAGCCTATTAAAATTGATTTTCTTTAACATTTTAACTTGAGAATTCATTGTTTTAGTTCCACTGTTAAAAGTTCTGTCATCCATATATGGGTGACGTGGCAGTCAAAGTGTTAACACTTTACCGACCGGTAGCGGTTGATTAATAGGCTATCGGTCGGTAAGCGTTGGCCGGTAAAACAGTCGATTAATAGGCTATCGGTCGGTAAAGTGTTAATCGGAAAACAGATCCGCCGGAAGAACAATATATACGCTTCTCGACGAAAATATAGTACACTTGTGGGGGGTGTTATTACCAACGGAGTATCTTTAACCCTAAAAATTAATATGTAGATCGAACTACGAACAACGAGCCATCGAATCGAGAGTAAACGCTAATCTTCCAGCGTGCTCGGTGATCTACGAAGGAGTAACGTTTCCGGGTAGATCGGCGCGCGCGATCCGGTCTTGTACATCACGATCGAAATATCGGGTGGCAATGACAACGCGGTTGTGGCACGAGTTACGCAAATGACAAACGCTGGTCTTCGTAACAGCGAATCAAATGAAGCCTACTCTCCATTATGTCTGCTCTAAGATCGAGTGAAATTAACTAAAATGAAATTTCGGTCCGTAAGAATCTTCGATTGCAACTTGAGGTGTATATACGTTTGCTCGTTCGATTCTGAATAAAATTTCTTTTCGCCGTGTGTACGGCGAGCGGCAGAACGGGCGTCAGTCGGCGAACACGATGGAGACACGCAAGAAGGAAACATCGGATCGCGTCGTTTTGTTCGGCAACGGTAACATTGCTGTAACACGAGAAGATATTGTCCACTTGACAACGGAGCCCCACGGCATGGAAGAGAATCACTCACGGTGCACGTGATGTGACCAGGGGTCTCTCGCGCGCGGGCATTTTCGTCACGGTGTTAAAAAACAATTCGTCGCCTCGTTTCCAAGGACGACGATCGACGAACAATCGCAAGTCGGCCGTTAAATAACCCGCCGCGAAAATTCTCGAAAAGCAACGACCGTGAAGTGAAAAAGGACGAAAAAGCAGAAGCGACCGAGAGTCGGAAATCCCGGCAGTCGATTGTTCCGATGAACAAAACACGGTCGCCGGCGGATAAGCAACATGGTTGCATACACGCCGGGCCAAGCGGGCGGATACGGCAACGTTTTTTTTTCTTTTTTTTTTTTTTTGTTCGATGAAATTCCAGCTCGAGTCTAAAACGATCGGGAACATTTCGTAACGTTCCGCCAGGTAGGCAGAGGCGAAAAAGGAGAAGAGGGACAAGTTCTTCGGGAGACGGACGAGGAAGAGCACGCGTTTCGTACGGGCGAAAGGAGCCTCGTGGAAAGGCGGTCCCCGGGGCTCCTTGTCCCCGACGTTTATTTTCAGGCAGTCCAAGGAGCTCCTCGTAACATCTCTGCCGTGTTTAACATCGAGAAGAGAACCTTGGGAAGATGCCCGCGATCAGACCCAGAACCAGTTCTCGCGCCTTAAACGGACGGTTCTCACGCATTATAGCCCTTCATCGCGCTTTCCATTCGATCTAATTGCCCGGCTCGAGGCTTATGAGAACCGCTGCGTTTCGTACCGTTTCCAGAGAAATTCGAATATCACGCGCGTAAATTCGCAAACCGTTCGGAACGCTCGGGATTTTTTTCAGCAACCGCGTAATCCGAGATACGGTCACGAAACGGGACGATAAAACGTTAACGCCTTCCGAACGGAGAGATACGTGCATAACGTGTCTCGCGAAAAAATTACACGCTGTTCGTCGCGTGCAACGACGGTTGAGAATTACTGGCCGCGATACGATCGTTTCGTGATCGATAATACGATCGTAACGATCGATATGAAAGAAACTTTGCCGGCTCGTTTCGCTCGGAACGTTAACGAATCGTTTCAGGGCCATGTTTTACACGTATCTGGTTCTTAATTGCAGAGCCCCGATCGAGCGGTTAACTTTTTGAATAAATTTGCCGCGGCGTACGATACAAATTGCGCGCGCACCGTGGGCTCCGGAACTCTCGGTTCCGCGTCTCACCGCGCCGCCGTCAGCTGGAGCCCACGGGACGCCGGGAACGGGAGTTTACGCTAGCGGAACAAAGAAAGTCAATGCCGTGACGTTTCCACGAGGTTTTTACGGTTTACTCCAAGTCCCGTTACCAGAGATTTCGCCACGATCCGCCGTGGAATATTAAAAAAAGTGCAGCTAAGCGCGCCGGAAAGAATCGACGTCCGATGTTCGATACTTGGGATCCGAATGCAAACAGAACGGTGCAAAGTAACGAGAAAAATAACGGTGATCGATCAACCGTTGTAACGTACAACTTTGCGCCATCGTTCCGCGGAACAAACTGTACCTGGACGACCTCGTGAATTTGTCCGATAGTCGCGTAATCGAGTAATTCCCTACGAAGATGGGGGACAGTATGTATATTCTGGTTGTACGATGCTTAAAGTCATCGACGAGGAAGACGAAGAGGAGAAAGATACAGTATGTCGGGATACAGAGGATGCCGGTTGAATAGGAACCGGAACTCGCGATCCGTGCTCGGAATTGACTACACGATCGCACATGTACGGCCGTGCATACGAATCGTATACAAGAGAGCCCCAAGAGTTTCCTATCCGCGACACGCGGAGAGAGGTTATCGGCTCCGTCATTGATTTCTCCGACGCAGGAAAATAAATCTCTGTATCAGGGACGGGAGGGAGGAGAGGGAGACCGTAGGCTCGGATACTCGCGATGCAAACGGAGGCGAACACTTTCAAAACCGCAAGGACCACTCAAAAATAGTGGCGTATAACATGAATATCCCCGGCCGCAGTGTCGAGTCGAGACGCGTGCGATCGTCGAAACGAAAGAATTGACTGGATCCCTTTTGCCTTTTGACCCGTGCAAACCGTTCAAAATTTACAAAAACGATAATGCAAAAAATCGTAATCGTAATCGTAACTACGAACATTGCGAGCGCCACGTTGAAACCAACAACCATATGCCCTATTACGATTACTGTGAACGCTACTCACCAGCCCGCTGCTAATTTCCACTACGAGTATCTGCTGTGAATCTATGCTCGAAACAGAACAACGGACAATCTCGTGTTAATCGCCGCGAACAAAGAGCGACAGAGTTCAGCAAACCCGTTATTCATTAAGCCGCGATGGACACAGTAATCGAAACGTATATACGTTTTTGTAGGCCTGCGAAATGTCCCTTTTATTCACTTTAACCTTCTTCGACCAATCTCATAAAAATAACCCATTTTTAACAACTTTGATTAAACGTAAATCGAATTAATGACAAGAAATAATAAAATACATATATTATTCGGCAACAACAAATCCATACCTCCATTTAATCCACCTAACCTTGAATCGAGCAACTTCACGTCGCAATAATACTATGTGAATAATATGCAATACAAATATAAGTCTAAAGAACAATGAGTATAGCATTGTTTATGCTCGTAATAATTTTAAAAGTATCTTTTACTATTAACGCATTCGTTACGTCGCGATTTAATAGGAAAATTCGTACGATTCCGTAACATCGTCATAGAATACGAGTAACTCGCGATGCGAGTCGACACCGACGTACAATCGTTACGCAAGTTTGTATTTCGGTTTACATCCGCTTTAGAAAGTTATTTGTAACGACCAGGTATCGGTGGCGAATCAGAAAAATTTGAGAACCTCAAACGACGCCGTAATTCGTGCAAAAAAGCGAGTGAAACTTGACGTCCCTGTCTGTCAACGACAACAAAATTCCATACAGTGACGCATCGCGTCGAAACCGAGCATCGTCGAAACAGACGACAAATTCGTTTCAAAAAGGCCGACAAAAGCAAATATTCTGAAACGTCCGTTCGAAAACCGCTAGGATCCACGTGCTGAGAAATACGTTTTCATAGAACCGGCGTCACCCGGCGATTCGCCGTCGCCAAACTTTCGATTTACCAGACAAAGTAAGGGGAATTAACGGCCAAAGGCTAATCCATCGGCAAAAAAAGCACGTAGGAAAAGATGGTGAAACGTTTACTCACCGTTAATGGCAATATATCCTGGGGAAATGCGTCGGAAGACGGATCCCAAGCACTTCCAACAACACCTCACTTGAGCACGCCAGTCACTGCGCTTGTGCGTTCAAAATCATCGTCTCGAGGGAAACACTACTGCCATCTCGCGCGCCACGACGCCAATTAATTTTTCTAACAAGGCTGGTTCGTAAAGACCGCGAACAAACCCCTTCGTTTAACACCTATCAATATTTGTAACGTTTAACACGATAATTAACGATTGATTTAAATGATATTTACCGGTCCGCTCAAGGAATAACATTTTATCACCGTTAAAAGTTTTCGGCTACGTGCAACGTTCACGTTACCATGAACATATACATATATGTAGTTCTATACATAACCTTACGTTAACAACTTACGCGTTACAATTCGAGATGCTTGAAATTTTTCATAATAATGATCTTCTTAATTCGAATCATGGTTATTGTTACTTGTAAACTTAATGGAAAAGGAAAATTTTAACATACCGTAGGGTATGCACGGAGACGGTGAAATTTTACGTCGTGACGAAAGTTTGGTTGTCATAGAAAACAATCAAGAATCGAATTCTTTGTTATTCTATAAAATTGCAAAACTTCTGTAAACGTAGATACTTTAATTCTTTATTATTCGTTTCTATATCATAAAAACCACATCCATATTCTTTTTCCCGTGTCCAAAATAAAGAAAACCATGACGAGAATCGTTTAATTTGTGATAAAAAGTCAAACCAGGCCAATACAGATTCTGTAAAATTACAGATCTCTTGCTTTGTACAAGTTGCAGATTCCAGCATCCTGAACGAAAAAACATGTACAGAGAACCGCGTAGGTAGGGAAGTAAATTTCTCGTATTTACAGTACCTTGTGGCACATCAAGATCGATCGTGTCCAAAAAGTCTAACGAGTAACTATAATCGGGCCTAGTCAATAAATTGGTATTCCATTTTTGTTGCGGCGGACGCGCGTGTAAATAGGACTTTAAATAAGAAGCGTCAACGGCGGCGAGCCCATCAAAATTGATATTTTCAATTACGTCACCGTTAGGACATTTAAACCAAGCGCCACGTGGAATTATTACGGCATCTTCTCTGATCGACTGTACCGTTGCCGCGAGTCTGTCTTCTTCTTTTAATTCCTTCGGTATAGGACCCTACGGTGTATCAAATGTCATTCGTTCTCTAAATACTTTTATCTTTTCAAATATTATAAAACTATCATTTGATTTCAATATATCTTACGTCGTAATATTTCTTAGGATCTTCGTTTGACGGGAACGGAGGATTTACGTTGTAAACATTAGTGATTAACGATGGATCACCTTCGAATTTATTAACAGCAAGGGATGTTAAGAATAATGCACATTTATCTGCCTTCGGTAATAGCAACCAATTCAAACCATCCATGCTAATTGCATAACAAATATACTTATTTATTGATTTGTACGACACGTATACGCGAAAAGTTGCTGGACATAGGGGTTGAGAACCCTGAATGAAAAATAATCTTACCTATAATAATAATTTTGACCGTTCATGCAGTCTTTTTCAAAACCGTACGCAATATGATAATCATTTTGAACTCCATAAATTTTCCCCCAATAATAACACTTTTGAAAATGATTTTCTCGTTGCAATATTAAGAGAGAATTTTGCAATATCTGTGAATTTTCTGATCCTGTGCAAATACCAGCATAACCCAAAATATCTAAACTGTCTAACAGTCTCATGCATTCCATGTTTACGTCTGCATGTTTTGTTGCAATGATGGGTATGTATCTCAATGAGTAGTGTAAACGAGTAACGTGCTAGGTTTTCAAACATTTATAAAACAATCGAATGCAGAAAATGTTTTTCACGCCTTGATCAAAGTAACTGAATTTAATTCGTGTTGTGACGCCCTAGAGACTTTCTCCTAGTGCCAGATTTTAGATCATATGTAGTAACTTGGGATTAGTGTTACCAGATGGCAGACCGGTGTCCAGAAGAAATTGCACTTATGTACACTAATGCGTAATTATATTTCGGTAATTTGAGAGAGAAGGTGAATGTGAAACTTTCCTTCTCGCTCTCGAAATAATTGGAATCCGATTTGCATCAACCGACATACGATTTCGAGTCTTGATTACTATTACCAGATGTTACATCAGAGCCATTAGAAAACTGCCCCCCTGTAGAAAACCCTTCCTTCCCTTACATGATTGCTATTACTAACAATTTTATCTGATATTTAAAGAAATTATATTAAATTCGCAGCCATTAGCTCGGCCTTACCCAGGAGGAAAGTATTTAGAATACTTTCGTCGTGGGTAACACCGATTACCAGGTCTCACCACAAGGAGGTTGCTGCGACTGGAGACCCAAAGAGAGATGGATGGAATTTAACTTCCATCTGTAAAATAAAAATTTTAGGTTTTAGGTATTTCGAGGGTAAGAAGGAAAGGCTCGTATTTGCCATCTTTCTCTAATTTCCGACGCTGTCCAAAGTGCAGCAGCTTCACATACACGTTCTGTTCGGCCGTCTAGTAACACTGTTCGAGACGATAACTTGCATGCGGTTTTTGCACGTTACTATCTTCGTGGCGTGTTCTGTCACAATGGAATAAGTGTATAAATTCGACGTTTCGTAAACTTTTAATAAAACGAACATGTCATCGTCCGAGGAGGAGAGTGATCAATTAACTGATTTAGGAGCAATCCGTGATAAAATGTTATGTAAACCGCGACTGGAGGGTATGCAAGTGAGTGGTTGGGAGGACGACGACGCTGGAATAGAAGTTGAACGCAACCCGAAAAGTTAGAACTCATGATCTTAAACAGTATATACTATTGTATAAACCTTGAGTTCTTGAAGCTTTAAAGCTTGATAGTCGGTGTACAATAATTCGAACAACGATCGGTTCAACGATATATTAATTTTCTTCATAGTGCCTGATGAGCAAGAGATTCTTCATGCAGCTGAAAATGGTGATATAGAGAAAGTCAAGAAGTTAGTAGTAAAAAATCAGTCTTTGTTGGAGTGTACGGATAAGGATGGCTACACTCCACTTCACAGAGCATGTTATACCAATCATGTAGAAGTTGTGGAAGTATAGACATTATTTTCTGATCGCTTTATTCCATTGGATTTTCAATTTTTTTGGAAATATTCGGTATCGCTGTTAGTTTCTCTTTTTTACAGTATTTGCTGCAAGCTGGTGCAAAGATAGATGCTAGGACCACGGATGATTGGCAACCGTTACATTGTGCATGCTTTTGGAATAATGTTGAAAGTGCGGCAGTGTTAATTGCAAATGGAGCAGATGTAAATGCTAAAAGCAAAGGGAATCAAACACCTTTGCATTTAGTATCTGCAAGCTCTCACAATTCTCCTGCTTTGCAACTGCTTCTTCTGCATTCAGATACGGATCCTACCATAATAAATTCAAGCGGGGACACAGCAAAACAAATTGCAAGCAGAACAGGAAAGTATTATCCAATGTTTGAGATAATTGAAGACTGCTTAAATATTATTTGAAGTAAGTTGATACACTTCATTATTTAGGATTTATGGATTCAGTAAATATACTTATATACACGAGTTACAACATTATGAATGTAGAAAAATATTTGAAAAGTGATAATATGATATAAGCGTATCTTTGATACACTATTATATTTATAAATATATTAACAACAAACCATGTAATTCCTATAAAAGTGCATTGTATGCTTTAATTCAACAGAGTATAAAAATATAGATGTTGATATATATTTCTAGAAACACAACAGGAATTGTTGTAATATAAATTTCAATAAAATAATACTTAAGCGTGCCTTTTGTTTAATAAATGCATATGTAATGTAGAACTGTCATTGTAAAAACGAAACGCTATTTGAGTGATTTTAATATTCGTAAAAATTGTGAACTGCGAGCGTGATGTTAAACGTCTTAATTGTTAAATAGAATGTGTTTGTTACGAAATATTTATCAATAATATAAAAATTAATGCTTAAATACATTTAAAGTAAAATATCAAATTTCGCCGGTATATTAGAAAACGCATTTCGGTTCGTTTATTTACATTAGAGCGATGTTAAGTTAACGAATTTTGGTGTACCGTTGCTCAAACGTTTTGATCCTTCCCATATAAGGACGGTAAAATCTTCGGTAACTGCATAGAGATGATGTTGATCGAGTGCCCATGCGATTGCAATCACTGCTCCACACCCTTTAGTACCAATTACAATTTCTCTAACTAATCTTAAATCCCAACTGCTCCACAATCTTATAACTCCATTATCTAATCCTGTTGCAATAACGTTTACGGAAACTCCTTCGGGCGCATTCCCATAACAAAGAGCTGTTATTCTTCTCTTAGATAGAACAGATCCAACCGCCCTTGCATTTATGGTAAATACTTTAAGTTCAGACTGACTGGATGATGACGTGTTTTCGATCGTCTTGGAAGTGTCGTAAGTAACCGCAATATCTCCGAGAGTTTCGCTGATCGCTAGTAAACGAATAGGATAATTCTGATCACAGGATATCGATCTTACGTACGTTAAACTGCAATCGAAAGACGGTAAATAATTTTAACATAGAGTTCGATATAAATTCTTATGTATAAGGTATCCCACGTAAAAAGGAAAAGCTGTATCTCTCAAATAATTATTTTAAAGATGTAGCTTTTTCTCAGTTGCGCGAGACACTCTGTATTTATGAGCATATTAACCTGTTTAAATCCCAAATAACGATATTGCCATTTGAATCGCCCGTAACGGCTATACTAAATGCCCGTGAAAGAGATATTATCGTTATTCTACTTCTATGAGCTAGAAGCACGCATGCCGGTACTGAATTGAAATCAATTTTGCTCGTTACAACGGTGTACGCATACACTGTGATTCTACCAGATAAGTGGCCTGCCCAGAGTTGTCCACAATCTGGAGACGAACCTAAAATAGTAATCTAAAAAAAAAAAAAAGGAAAAACTATATTACGTAATTCTTAATTCGACAATATACGTTATGGTACACCCTGTATAAATTGATTTTCTTACTGGATCCAAACCCGAAGATTTAATCAACGGTCTGGGCGGTTGTTCTTTTTTACATTTCAATCTTGCAATTCCATCTGTACCTCCCCACGACACCAGAGCAGCTCCCAATACAGATGTTCCACTTAACATACTCGCGCCTGAAATCATTATACGCTCAATCGTTACAAGCACAAGAAACTATGAAATGTTTGATCCTAGGAATTAGTAATATATCTATACCCTTCTCTTTTGTGTAGCCGAGCAATAGAGTAGTGTAGTTGGGTAATCCAAAAACATCACCAGTTATTAAGGGAATCAAGCATGTCAATGGTGCCCTGTATTTGTGTTTCCAACATAAAACAGGTTCGTTTCCAGGCGCGCCAACATAGTTTCCCCATTTTATCCCTGTAATCGCATAAAATATAACCTCTTCACATACAATGACATCTAGGAAACGCCATTTGACAATTCTATTTAGGAGACGGAAATTGTAACATACCGTCCACACCATCGATGACTTGCGGTAACGAGGAATGTGACATGTTGCCAAAGTTTTGGATCTGCAGCGGATGAGCAGCTCTAAATAATTGAGCCGGTGTTTGGCCATACGTTCGTACCATTGTTTCCCAAGCTTGACGTTCCAAAGGATCCGCGATTTGTTCCACGTTAAAACCATAGTAGGTCTGGAAACATAAATTCCAAAATGTTATTCCAAAATGTGTCCCAAGTTTGAAATATCCAATGATCGTTTAGTTTAACTTACGGCTGGATGAAAAACATTTATGGCTTCTACCGCGGGCCTTCCCGTTTGTCTAAATCCAAACACCAGATCGATCCAATATGGCAGAACTTCCCTGACGAGATCTGCCTCTAACGCTGCTCTATGAGCAAGAATGAACAGTCTTGCGTCACCTCCGCACCATTTTGGCAATTCAACGTTTCCTACTCGATTGCCGTTTTGCCGTACACCGAAATTAAATCCTTCGGAGTTCAGTAAAAATTCAGGCAAATAGAAAAATTCGGGAATTAATTCTTTCACGTCTGTCGTCGAGTCGCAGCTGGTTAGCCGCCATGTTGTAGCCAGCGCGTGGAACGTTCGATCGGGAATATCAAAATTATCGTCTTGATAACACAGAAACATGCTGGTGAACGGTGGTAATCGTACCAAAAAATGCAACACCGTTCCAGAATTACTGTAATGCGACCCGTAGTGAAACGGCTCTTGATTCAAAGCGATTAAATTCAGTCCTTCCGACAAAGCTTGTTTAAGGTAGTTATAATTGTTTATGTAGTGCTGTTCATTCTTTTTATCCTGTACAGCCATAGGGCGTTTGAAATTTCGATAAATCTGCGGATTGTTCAGATCGATTTTTTCACTGGTGTAATCTGCCAAGACAAACGGAAACACAGGGTACTGCATCAAATCGTTGTACGAACGGCCGGCTAATTTGTTCAAGCAAGTTATGTATTCCCAATTTGTTAAAGCCCCGCTTCGCCATAACATGATGGCTTCGCTCAAATCATCACCCGGCACTCGTCTCGGTAAATTGCAAGCAGACAATTCTGTTACGAATTCGTCTCTCTCCTTGGACGAGTTAAACGCCAATAAATAAGTTCTTCCCGTAATTAAAAATATTTCGATGGCTCTCTCTTGCAATTGGTACCTCCTTTTGTGCAATTCCCGAATATCATCGAGACGCCACGCTGTTCCGCCCACCATAGCCAAATCCAGTCCGCCCAATGCTATGTCCGTGTGCAATGGTACGTCCGGATTGTCAGGTACAAAGTATAGGCAGGTTTCACCGATAAGAACTTCACCGGCTAGTTCAGCTCTGGGCGTAACCACCTTGGCTTGAGACATTTTACGTATTCTCTCGCTGGTATGCAATCGCTCGATCAAGGCTGTGGCATTTGTATCTTGCCGATTGGTCATGAACAAATAAGACAACGGTCCCTCGATTTCCGCTGCATCCAATTTATTTTGACAATCCGCCATAAAGAATCTCTTATCGATGTTCAAGTGACATCGTTGTAATCGTATTCTGACTCTCGCAGGCCCTTCCGTTGGATCCAACTCCCAACTTCTCGGGTAACTTTTCGGGAAATGCCAGGGCGCTCTCTCGTGCGTTAAACGTCGTGCCAAATCCCTCCATTTAGCGATTGCTTGAGCCTCCATCGCCCTCGAGTGTTTCAGTCTTTCCATTAATACTTTGCGTTCTTGATTCTGCTCCTCCACAACCGTCTGCGTTATAGTCATGGCACTTTCTGTTAATTGCTTAGAGAGAACGTCGAATCTGTTGCCGATCCTTTGAATAGCCGGAAGATTATTATCGATCCATATGTCGCGATCTCTCATCAATTCGCGTTTCAACAATGCCAGCTCTTCGTTCCATACCCCGATTGATCTAGCTTGATCTATACCTTTCGCCAAGTCCCACACATTCAGCGCTTCTCTCAGCTCAGCGCACAATCTCGCATCGGCGCTAGGCATCTCCACTCGTTTCTGCAAGAGATCCCAAAAGAACACGGTAAACTTTTGTTCTACTTGCGGATGAACTTCCAGAATCGAAGATAATATTTTATCAGCTTTCGGCTCTTCCATCAGCGACCTGATGGCAAAAATCCTGGTATTGTTGCTCTGATGCGGTCCGAGCAACCACATCATTATCTTTGCCGTGTATTTTCTGAGAGCGTGTCTCGTCAACCATCCGCTGCTCCAATGATTTTTCTTTTCCAGCGGATTGCAAAGACCGTGCAACAGAATTGAGAATAATCTTTTGGTCAGTTGTAGCTCGTTCCCTGACGGCGGTTCATCGGCTGACGTTATAAAGTCTACGGCACGCGTTAGAATAATGCGGAACCGTTCGAGTAGTTCTCCTTTCCCTGGTTCGCGTAACGTTGCAACAGTTGGCGCGTGAAGGCTCGTGAAGCTGGATGATCGAGAGCCATGGTCGCTTTGATCGCTGGAGGTTGTGAAGACTGAAACACACATTGTCAAGTATGCTTATCACGGCTGGACCTGGTACAAAATTTATATGAATAATTACCCGAGGTTATGTGATACGCTGAAGCGAGGTACGATGCCGTACTACGTAACCGGAAACCCGATTGATTGGAGACTTTCGCCGCGAGCACATCGAGTTCGCCGTCGAAGAGGGAAACTTGCGCGTTCCTTATGACGGACACGCAAGCTCTGTTTTTGGTACAGTCAGATTTTTCTTTTAATTCCACGTGATTCAGTATCAAATGCATATCTAGGATAGCTTGCATTTGATGGTTTCCTAGAGATTCTAAGAGTTTCGTGGCGATAGCTACGAGTAGCACATGGATATCTCGATAGAGGGAGGCAGAACCGCCTTTGTGAGCACCACCGACTAATGCTTGAACCAGCGACTCGATCAACCCTTGCTCCAAAAGCATCCTCAAAGCATTGGGATTCTGTAATGGAAATGTGTTTGTCTCATTTCATGGACAGTACTTAATCGACACTAACTTACCTTTGCGATTATGTCGGTGATAAATGACACTATTGGCACAGCCACGTTTGGCTCGGTGGCTGCTGCTTTTGCAATCATGGCCATTAACGGTGGCATCGCAGCTAGCGTCGGTCCTCTCAAAGCAAGATTTTCTAAAGCGACTACGAGCGGTTCACTTCCGGGATACAATGCTATTTGATTCGCCAGATGCATAAAGTACTTTTGCTTTATAAATTTGTTCACTTCTTCGTCGCTGGCGCGTTGCAAATACGTTTGCACGACCTGCACAACAATCGTCGCTACAATAGATGAATTTCAATACAATTTTATTACCTTATACGATTATACATACTTTAATTAACGCGGTACGGACTCTGGCGTCGGGATTGTTCGCCAATACAAGTAAAAGTTCAGCTCTTAAAACGTGTTTCAATACCAATCCAACTTGACTATCGGGTAATACTCTGACAGCATCCCGAAGCAACAACAAAAGACCTTCGCAAACCAGACCTTGGCAGGCCCTTCTTTCATCCATCCACGTGCATTGCTTTTCCTAAATAAAAAATCATGATATTGAACACATCATGGTATGGAACAAAAACTTATTTAATGCTTACGTTACTGAGAGGATTCGATCCATCGCTAGCCGCAATTCCAGAATCTTCCCCGGCGCTGGTATCTTGAATCGGACTGTTTCGACGCTCTTTTCTCTTTGACATTTTATTTCTTTGAATCTGTCAAAGGCATACATCGTTGAATATTAAATATATTAACTTTTATTCGAAGTTGCTATATTTGGACTACACAGGTACCAACCTGCATGTTCGTTAAACCTTTGCTCAATTTACTATTTTCCAATGTTCCTACTGATTCCTCCGAAGAACTGATCGTTGCCATGGAGTTAATCTTCACGACCTTTTTCTCCCCAAGAGACGGTAATAAAAAATATATATTGTGCTTCGAATGCGTGATGTACGTTTCCGACGCTTGATGTACGAGAACCAGATAATCAGTGATTGCCACAAGATGAGCAAACTCTGGAGGAGCACCCATCAATGCCCTTATTAACTCGACCACGGCTGTTCCCGTCGAAGAATCAAGCACAGCACCTAATTCCTCGTACATGAAATGCTCCTACGATAAGAAACAAAATGACTATTCTTGTTTCCTTGAACCTAATTTCCTCTCGAATCGCACAACTTACCTTGCACAATGTCAGAATCGTGTTGACGATTTCTGCTCTGTTCAGTTGAGCGGCGTTAAATTCGCGCTGCGAATGTTGGTCCCTTAATAGCAATAACAACGTTTGCAACAACAAATTCAACGTGTCGTATTTAGCCCACGTTCTCCACGCGGTAAGCGCGCCTTTGATCAGTTCAGGATCCGTAATGACAGCCTCGCAATTCTGCGATACCAAATGATTCCCGCTGCCGATATCTTTTATCAGGATCGAACTGTCGCAAGCCGCGTCTAAGATCGCTTTTAGTATATGTCTACCTGCGTGACATCGCGACGATTCTAAAACGCGTAGGATTAATGCGATTCCGCCCTCTGATCGATACTGATTTAATAGTTCCGAATCGCTCCGTATTAAGTGCAGAACTATCGAAAGAGCTAACGCTTGCTCTTCCTCGGTGGAGTTCAATTCGACTACCTGCGGCGTAATAATTTTGCACTTAATAGCAATCGAACGACCGTGTCTCTTGTCTCTGTAGGATTATGCTTACCCTTGCGAATAGGTATAGAAATATGGGCACCCCGCCGATCAAGGTCGCAGCGGGTATCAGTCCTCTGTACTGTTGGCAGTCCAAACGAACGGACAATATCGGAGCTACCGACATAGGAGGTTGCTGCGTGACTCTGTGCTCCGGTGCGGAGACAACCCTAAAACCTGGTTGACCCGGAAACATATTTCTTACCACGGCTAGAAACGAGTATGCGATATTTATACGAAAAAGGAAACTTTGATATTTTATGTAGAAATCGATAAACTTACCAGCCGGATTCGCGATAGCCTGGGGATACAAATGAACGATATTAGGATTCTGTGCCTCGTAACTTAGGAGCAAATTATTTTGCAGTTCGCTCAGGTGTGAATTCGTAGCATCCATCACCGCGTCCCAATCGATTTTAGCGTCGGACACTTTGGTCTCTACGGCGTGTCTTAAATACGTTCCGCCGTACGACTTCCTCCGGTTCGTATCAAATTTTCCACCCTCTGTATTAAATATAGGTGTTAATCGTACACATGGTCTTAGACCATCCGCTCTATTGAAGTGATAATGGATATTTTATGATAATTACCGAATCGTACTTCTCGTATACCCTCCAACGCTCCGGATGCGATTAATGGTGCAAAATCTGGCTTGTCCGTGTTTAAAATACATTCCGCGAGATTAGTGTAATTAGGTCCGAGACTCGCCAGGTATAGTGCTCTCTCTTTCGTAAATACTGGGCATCTGTAAATTATTATGGTTATCAACGCCTTGAAGAGTGTAATCGATGATTTAATGCCACGCTATGAAGGTACATACCTGAATACCATTAAGTTCCCGAGATACCAGGCACCGATACTACTCGATGAGCCCACCTGTCCTAATAATACACACGTGGTTCCAGGCTTTCTCACCAACAGGCCGTCGAATGGTAATATCGCAGTGATTTCTTTCCAGCCGTCCACCCAAAGGACAACCTCGACCACGGCGCTGCGTTTCTTTAAAACGGTATCCTTGAAGTTCAATGCCAAATGATGCCATCGGCCAGAAGGAAGCATATCGGTTATCGACGTTTCGGATACCGTTCGATTCGTTTTGTCGTCTGGCCGCGTTAACCGTAAGATCAGCTTGTCTGAACAGGGAAAGCGAGGAATTGAAATACGTGTACGATAAAAAGTAAATGTTTCGTTAATAATTATAGTAACCGAGTGTACTTAATTACCTGATCTGAGGTCCAACCAGGTTTCAAGAACCAAAGACTCGAGCCCGATAGACAACAAATGAATGATCGATGATGGCGTGGGCGGAGACGTCGAACCTGCTATGACTGATGCAGAAGGGTGATCATTGAAGTTACCGAGCATTACTGTATGTAGAAACGTACCTTCGCGACTCCAGTTATCGGACAGAATACACCAGTCTGACAAGCTGTCGTTATCCGAATCGAGCAACGGTGATGCACCGAGGACTGTTCCTTTGCTGGTAACAGACGATCCTCTTTCAACCCTCAGCCACATGGAAACAGAAGAGCCGTGTAACCAAACCGGCCAGCTCAATTCCGAACCAACTGGCAGACACGTTGCGTGGACAGACCACGGGCTACAAATACCGGTTGCAAGGTGTCTTTTCCGGAAGTTGTTCACTAGATTCTCAGCTTTTTCCAAGTTCTTGAATTCCTCCGCTCGAGTTTTCGGCGGTACCTTCGGTGGTCCGGGAAGCACGGGAAACGACATAATAAAATTGGGCTGGGGTCGTGCAGCGAGTACGAGATGATAAAGTGGTTCCAGCAGCGACAAAAGCGGAGGTGCATCGATTTTAAACAGAGACAGGTACATGACTAATTCCGACGGCGAAATAGATTGTGTCGCTAGCAGGGTGAACATTTCTAGAACAGCGTGTCGAAAATCTGAAAGACGTCGTCGCGTAATGTCACACTTAACATGAAATATTCGGTGGAAATGTTAATGAAAAGTACCTCGATATTGAGCATCTCTGCTAGCGAATATATCCCTGAACCCGTTCAGTATTTTCGTGATCACACCGGAACCTGCTAACGCGGCGCAAGTCGAGGCGCTTTCCCTGCATGTAACTGCAACTTTTCTTAAACCGGTGGTCACGATGGATCCTCTGTCGGCGTCCAAACCTCTGTGCACGAACATTGTTCATAAAGTTTCTTTTATTACATATAATCGGTTTACACTTTGCGCAACGTTCAAGAAAACTCACTGTTCGCTGAAATGGATCAACAGATCTATCGCCAACGAGCACAAGGCTGGGTGAGCGTTCGCGTGACCTCTTGGTTCGACTACCGGTCCCAGAGAATTGCTTCTTTTCACAATGTTGCTGCGAGGACTTTTGCCTGGTACTTCGACGTCTGCCTCGTAGCCATCGTCAGCAGTTACGTATTCGCCTGCGCTGCTGTCGTCCGCTGCACAGTCCGGCATCGTGTCCAACGTCATGGTCGGTAACTAAAACGAAAGATACAGAGAATCTCACAGTAACCTGACTTTGAAGATCATGCGAAGGAATTGCTCGACGGAACTCACTCTGGGTCGAGTATACTGCGGAATGGTTTCCTCTTGCGCCGGTTTTAACATAGAGACTTTCAACAGAGCTTCCACGATCACGGCCAGTCCACGGCCCAGCTTTATACCCGCGTCCATCAGTGCTCTTCCCAGCTCCATGATTATATCACAGTCACCTGTGTCACGTGTACGACGACAAATCGTTTAAATAGAAACAATGCAACGGTCCTACGATTCTATGAAATGAAAATCCTTCGTCGACGGCTGTATACTCGGGAAATGCGTACCGGTGACGAACGTTTCGTGAACTGTTTTCACACCGAACGAATTCTCCGAGCTTATTGGAATTATAATCCGCAGCTGTGCAAGATAGCATAGCACGTAGGACAGGAACACTTATGATTCACGTTCGTTATATAAAACTACTTACACAATGGAGACGTTAAGCAGCACGTGAGTAAAGCTTCGAAGAGTCTGTGCGCTGATTTATTGGTACCTGATACGAGAGAAACGTGTAAATATAAATTTAGAGATTTTTGTACGCGTAAGGATGGTTCTCTGAACGTACCGAGAATAGTGTCCGTAGAGATATACACGGCCAACGTTTTGAAAAGTTGCAAAGATATGTTGGATACAGAATGCGACGATAATTCTGAGCGAAACGTTGGGCTGCTCAGAGCTACCCCGGCTGCGGCTCTCCAGGCGGCGCTCGCTTGGTGCAAATTCATCTTCTTATTCGCGTCTATGTCGCTATCGGTTTCCAGAGACGTCACGACGCTTTCGGAATTATCGAATACTTCCGGCAGGTAGAAATTTTTATTGCTCTTGGAGTCCACCGTTTCGCTACGCTCTTGTAGATTATCTATCGTTGTTCGTTCTAAATCGTTGTGCTTCCGTGAACTTCCTCGTTCTTCGCCAAAGTTATCAGCTATACCGTCTATAGCGCGCAACAACTTGGTCGTTTCCTTTTCGAGAGAGTCGAACAAAGATTTGAGCGCGGGTCTCTCCGCGTCCTGGGCATCGAACTTGCTGGAATTTGTTTTCCAGATCTCGATGACAACGGAGACCTCGAGTAACGCGTACACGCTTCTGGCAAAAGTTGTGTTCGAGAGCAACGCCAGCGTTTCCTTCAATCCATTTATCTCCGCAAACGCGTCGTATATGTGCGCGTTCACGATCAGGCAGGACATCGCGGCCAGACAGGACTGAACGAGGAATTTCGCTATCGCGCTTCCGGTGTCGTTCGCGTAATAGGTTTTAGCTTTAAAAAAGGTGGGATAGAAGACTTTCAAGAGAAGTTCTCGCCTAACGTGTAATCTGGAGCCGGACCCTATTTTGAGCAGGTGAGCCATCACGACGTAACACAGTTTCGGTTCTTCCGGGGTCAACAAATCCGCGTACGACTCCAGAAAATCCCAACTGTAGGTCGCGGGTCTGTCGCAGGTTTCGCACAAATCGGATTCCGAATATGCGCCGAGCTCTTTGAAAAACGTTCGCTCGAGGAGCGTTACGGCCGGAGCATAGGTAGCCGGATCGTGCATCTTGAGAAGAACGACGACGCTGGACATGAGCACTTCGGCTGGAAAACAGCAACAAGTGCCCGCCGCCGTGCAGACTTTTATCAGCCTGACCCGTATCTCGCTGGCAAATTTACAAGATTCTCGGAGGAGATTGGCGAGAGTCATGAACAAAGAGGAAACGCAGCACGCCTGTTTGGTAACGACACCGGTTTGCCCTTGTCCAGTAGCGTAAGCCATCCCAAACGCGTCCGAATGATGGTGAGCCTGAACCTCGTCGACGCAAGATTTGTGCTTGGTTCGGTTGCAACGAGCTGCGTGCGAAATATCGCGACGCGCGGACTTCAAGCCGCTCATCAGAGCACCTATCATATCAATGACCTTTCTCGCGCGCACGATCGACCTCGCTGGATCGACGCTGGGCAGCTCGATGATCGCGAGAAACGTTCTCTCCGCGAGCTTGCCGTCCTGGCTCTCTGTGAACAGCTGGAACAGCTCCAGAAAGTCGGACAACTTCTCGACGGCGGCTCCTTGCTGGTGCAACAGGCAGTAAAGGAAAGTGACGATCCCGTAAATGGTACCGTAAATGAACTCCTGCAGCAACGAGCCCTCTTCTGGCGAGAACACGTTCACCGGTTTGCTGCAGGCGTCCTCGAGCAATCTCAACGTCATGGGTAGTAAACCGTTGTGAATGACGGCCGTGGTTGGTTCGTTCGCTCTTACCACTCGCTCCAACGCTGTCAGCATCAGTCTTGCAGCCGCTGCTTTCAATGTGGCGCACTCCGTGCCGGCCAAACCTACGCCGTCTGCAAGATAAAAGATCCAATATTCATTAATGCACATATTACGTGTACGATCAATAAACTTACGTCCTTACCAAACTGAAGGGACCACAACGCGTCCAAAGCGAACTTGAGGACCTGCACGGCCGGTGTCTGTTCAGCGGGCGTATCGTATTCTCTGAGCCCCTGAAGCAGCTGGATGATCAACAGACTGGCCTCGAAGTTGCTGATCCTGGCATCCAGAACATCTTTGATTCTTTCGTCCGTGTAATCCGTCGGCGTTTTTTTGGCCGGTCGTGCAGGGAGCTCGTAAAGCGCCGCTTGCCATTTCTGTTCCTCGTCGCTTCTGACGACGGACGTGAAGTACTCGAAGTCCATCGGGTTCAGGCGGATCTTGAGCGTGAGCGACCGCGCCTGATCCACGGCGCCCGTCAATAATTCGGACTCGCTGCTCGCGATTTCCGGCGTGTTACGTCGCGTTTCGAACATACCGAACGATCTTTGCTTATGGTGGACCGGCACCTTGGTATCGATACTGTGTCTACGGCTGGCTCTTCTCCGCGTCGAGGCATTTCCATCGTGGTGGCCGCCGCTGCGGGCCGACTTTGTCGCCTTGCGTTTCGCCTGCGGCACGATATCTATGGTGTCGACCGTGTCGTCGTTGCGGTAAAGCCTCACATAGGGATTGGGCGTGGAAACCTGCGCAGATGAACGCGTGGATTCCTTCGAAGGCGCGAAATCGGCCTTGGTGTTCTCTTCCTGAAGGGCGACCGGATATAGGGCCACCAGCAGAGCCACCAGTTCGCGTCCGCAAGAAAGGCCCCGTACACCGAGCAGCTGCAAAACCGCCAGACACCGCCAGCCGCGATCTTGGGTCAAGTACTTCCTCAATCCGATCAGCTCGTCCCCGTCGATCCTCTTCGCGCAAAGTTCGTGCACGTCCGAGAGCAACTCGCAGGCTATAAGAGTGGATACTCCACCGCCACCGACCGAACTGTAATGGATATTTCCATACTACGTCTTTTATATATCTCTATCTTATCCATCGGACGAGGTACGCTTATCGTATCATTATCGCCCCGATACGACCATTGTTCGCGCTCCTATACAATCTAATTTTCAGTGGACGATCCGGTATCTTCCAAAGGAGTTTTCCGAACGATCGAGCGAAATTTTCGCGACTCCGCGTACCCGGAACAGTGATGCTGCCGGTGAACGATAAGTGGACAGAATTATTCATTGTATGTATTTTCAATTATGTCGAAAACAATCGTACGTAGCAAGTGCAAACATGTAAAAGTGACTGCGAACAGGCACGGTAAAACTAATAGTAATACGTAAAAAATTGCATCGAAACCGCAAACGTGAGATCACGTTTTTATACTGTGGTCGACGAGCACCGCAACTAGCCTACCACCAGTCTTTTTTATGCTTTTCAAAGTACGACGACTACTATGCAAGAATTCGAAACTAGTTCGTACCAGAGATGAGCGTTATCAAGATAAAATATTATAAAAGTCAAATTTCTATTTGACAATTTGCTCGTACTCGTTGTTACTGCCTTTTCTCATTCACGCTTGAAAACAAGATGGCTGAATGAAAGAACGAGACATCGATTACGCAATGTATTCATAGAAGCAGCGATCGAGAACAGATTGCAGAAAATATTCCTTGTAGACAAGAAATGGTGATCGATACGATGATAAAAATTTTGGATCTGATAAAGGTGAATATACATACATACATACATACATAAAAAAAAGTTTCATACATTCCGAGATGGAACAATTTACATTAACATGTATGCTTTATGAAGGAAAAAAATTTTATTTTCCACTATTATTATTTGAAGTAATGAAATTATTTGAGAAACAATATTTTTCAATTGTATGAATCTATTTCATCGAAAACTTATATTTCTTATCTCATTTGACGTAATTATTTGTTATCTTTATTTACGTCGAAAATGCCCATCTCTGGTTCGTACGTACATATGTACTTACTCACGTATAGTGGGTCGTAAAATTGACCGTACACGCGTATTAAAAATATATTTACTCAAAGAGCTTAATAACAATTGTGGCGGCGTAATCTTACCAAAACGATAGAACATCTTTTAGGTCTCGACCTTCTTTTGCTTGAGAAAGAAGCTCGGCGAGGAACAGGTCCAACCAGGATGATTTCTAAGACAAAAGAAATATTTAGTAGCTCGTATTCGAAGATATGGGATGAAATTGTCTTCTGTTCGATTCGATGACTCCGTAGCAGTAACGAATAACTAGTTACAGCAGTATACAAATAATTAAAGATTCTCTTGCTCTAAACGGTGCCGTGATTTCGAGACTCGATACTGTAGCAAATCATAGAAAAACAACTGGTTACGAGATAGATAATACGACGAGGAAATGATAGATATAGAATGCTAAACAAAGACATTGCTTTCTTTCATTTTCGAAACGCACGTTGATTATTACACGTGTCTCCGTGCACGCGATAAAATAATCATCACGATAGGATTTGCGACCGAAATACACAAAGATTAGAATGGCTTGTGACGTAAATGCTATCTAAATTCGCGAATTCGTAAACTGTTGTGCTCTTTCTTTTTCATTGTTAACTTTACGATCGTGATCGAATAAAATTTATCACAAGCATCTCGATTTCCGACAGACTATCCGGAAGTGTCTTATAATTTTCTTCTACTTTCGAAATATCCTATTACAGTGAATTCTGTCTTACGGTTCTCGACTGTTTTCTAAGAACTAGAACTCTTCTTACATTCATCAATTTTCTTTATTAAATTATAATTTTGTCCAGCAGTGTATGGCAGACGAGTCAGAGGGATCGTACGTTATTTCGTTACGGCCACTCGGCAAAGTATCGTCAGGGCTAGGTCACTATGCGTGACTTGTATGTCATCCTGACGCGATTCTAAAACGTTGTTTAACCACGAGGGGGAGAATGATCGACGTCGATTACGAAATCTTCCACGATGGAAGACGACGAAGGACGCATTAATCGAGAACGTGTTTTCAAGTTCCTCGCGTTCGGATGATACATCGAGAAAACCGAGGAGAAAGGTTGAAACGCCAAGGTAACAGCAATAGGTACATATCGCTAGATTTTTCTCTCGTACCGTTGCGGCATTATTTACATATTTCCAAAAAGATAAAATTCCTTAAATTTTCAAGAGTTGCAGGTACGCTTCCGATTTTTTAAATCACGGATCCGTATATGTACACATATACCTCGTAACTCTGCGGCTCCGCGTGTATGAAACGATCCCACAAAATCTGCAGTTTGTTAGCCGAAGCCGAAGACATTCCTAGACTTTCTTCGTACTCCTTCTCGTCGTCTTCGTACCTGTCCTCGGTCTTCAGCCGCGTATCCTCTTCATAACTCGCCGGCTCGTCGAAACTGAACCACGGATACAGAGTGTCCTCGGGCAACCTTCGAGGATCACTGCTAGAGCACGTAACCCGATCACCTGAAACGATCGAGACCTTACACTAGCTTTCGTCCGAGCAAACGCATCGCGTACGCGCGTAAATCGAGCTCTTTGGCGATGTCAGTATACGGAGGTGCCGTGCGGACGTGATTCTCGTCGCCGTCGATGAAAGTGTACTCTCGTCGGTAATCCGCGTCCCCGACAACCTCGAGTTTATACCGTGACGCGTCATGACGCGACTCCTTCTCGCATACGCGATGCGACTATTGCACGGGCGACGTCTTCGCGTGTATGCGCGCTTATATGCCGACCCGACTGCAGCTTACATAACATCCCCACGAGTACACGACAGACCAGTTTACAACATTCCGCGCGAAGCCTGAAAGCTTTTCACAGTCTACGAACCACGGTCTGCGAAGAAAGAGAGAACGGTAATCCGGGATTCGTGGGCACCAGTACGACATCGTCGTACCGTCACCGCCATTACGGATCCAGACGCGCACCACCGGAACGGTACGTGGTGACGGTCATTAAAGAGGAAACAGTGCCGAAACAGTGCCGGGTCTACGACGTACCAGCATCGATTCGCTCGTTATCGACTGATTTACTCTCGTGCCACGCAACGGTTGCCCCGTTATCGCCCCGTCTCGGACCCGTACGGTCGTTTCTTTTTTTTTTGTTTATCCACGACTGCCGACCGCGACCAAGATCCCGGAACGATACTCGAGATCGCGTACGCTTCTCGATTCCTCTATATCTGTTTATATACCGGGACTTATCGATCGACACACCGGAAAGAGAAAACTACTGTCAATGCTCCCGAACACCGAACCGTATCTATACGTGTATCTCCGCTCGCAGCGAGAACGTTCAGAGAAAATCGTTTAACGCACGTACGACCATCGTCGGACGGGGATCACGACCTCTTCGAACGATCGACTATCGTTCCGGTCAACTAACAGTGATTTACGAGTTTCTTCTACTACGACTTTTTACTACGAGCAGCCGGTGGTCATTGATCTTCTCCGTACGCTTCCTCGCGACTTTGCTTCCAACCAACAATTATCGTAGCGGATACGCACTGGCAATCTCTTCGGAGTCGCGTCTCGTCGTTGGATCACCCGTATTTCCCTTGACTACGATAACTTCGCTCTACGAAATTACTTCTCCTCGCTTTCGAACATTCCTCGATACTTTTCACCGCCCCGACGATAATGTTGACTCGTGGAATAATACCGAAGGGTGCGGAGCGCGCCACGCGTTCAAACTTTTCTGACCGTTAATCGGGTGCATCGATGGCTCGCGAATTACAATAACCGAATACGAATGCACATCGAAAGACGATCATCAGCCTCGTTCACGAGCGACTACGAAGCTACTTTGTCGGCTGATCTCCTCGATGATTCTCCACATCGGGATCCGCGGTATGGTGGAAGGAAGGGGGAGATTAGAGAGACGAGCCTCCCGTAGGTCAAAGAAAGCCTCCAATCGGCTTCTTTCGTCGACGAAAACTTATGATTCACGCGTCGCAGACTACCTACCCCCTGTGTTCGGGGGAAAAAAGAGAGGCAAATCCTACGAAGGATAGACGACGCCGGCTACGCAGGATATAATATACCACCCTCCGCTAACGTTCGATGCAACGGGATATATTTCTCGTCGGGGATGCCCTCCCTAACAGGTATACCATTAGTCAGTCGTGCAAGTAGTCACGTAGCTGATAGCAATGGGATTTCGAATGCTTGGAATCGTTTCGAATGTACAAAACAGCGGAAAAATCTAATTCGAAAATCCTGGTCATCTTAAAATCAGGGATGGTAGATACTCGGTTCTGAAACCAATATATTTTCCTTTAATACAACAATTTATTTATTTTGATTTATTAAATAATCAGATACTTACATACTTAAACGATACACACTTTTATTGCTTCTCTTCACGCAATTTTAATATAAGTATAATGTGTGTTTTTTTCTTTTATGTGATTCGTTTTTATGTTTTATAGTTGCAAATCCAAAGTCCCACCATTAGTAATCCGGTCGTGTAGTCCACGTCGAACTCGCTACCACATTATCTTCCTATAAAACGTAATTAGTGTAAATAAAATGCTCTGAGCATCGACAGGACGGTCAATGGATATTTCGTTCATTTTTCACAAAAAATCGTTTTCTACATTTATCGAAATGCATCGCGTATTTTGGAACGATCTGTATGTCGCACTCATGGAAATCTGTGTCGTGAACGACATACGTTTCCACCGCCAAACAGTGTTATAATTATCGGTTATTTGTATCATTCTTCCTCCCCCACCCGCCACAATCAATGGCTCTAACAGTGCCTGACAAACAACGATAACCGCGCGAACACGTGCAAACAATTGAAAACATTCAGTTTCAGCTAGGCAGTAGTCGTTCAGCCGTAATTGTCTATCAATCTTTGACTCGTATAGCCCGCTCATTATTGTGCTCCGCGATTATCTTAATGGAGTTCTACCCCGTCGTTCTTTAATTAGCAACGCGTGATAATAGTGTGCATCCGCGTCTTTTTCTCTTTCGCGAAAAAAACAATCAATATTTGTCCCGCCGTTTGTCGTGCCGGCGAAAGTAAGAAATAGACTGTAACGTGCGATAATTTACGCGGATAAAAGAAATCGCGTGAAAAAAAGTGCTCGTTCGATTCTTCCCGAGTGATCGACCAACTTTCGAATGTAATGCGTATGTAGTACTGATTTAAAGAAAAAAAACTTCCATCTGGTACTTTGATCGATCCACTGATTGCTAATATATTTCTAATGGAATTAGTTGTAAATAAAAATATTTACACGTGTTGCGCGTACTCTAGACTTTTAATACTCCTGCAAGGACAAGTGAATGTATAACAATAACACTAACGTTAACAACACAAGAAATACCAAGTTTAATTTAAATTGAATCGAACCAATAAAAACACTTTCAATTCACAGAAAATAAAGGGTAAATTTGAGAACTAATCGATCGACAACCAAAATGTCATGTCATTCCGTTTTCCGGTAACCTTCATCGTTCTTATGTTTCGTTATTATCAACGTAGGAAAAACGAGATTTATGTTACCGTAACTTTCGGTTTTATGTTTCTCTCGATTAAAAACTAATTGAATATTGTTTCCACGATCAACCTGCTTGCTCGTAATCGATCAACGAATTCGATGACTCGATCATTTAATGGTTACATCAAACAAACAGTTGATTCGGATAACTGTTGACCTTCGAACTTTTTGTTACAAAGTTGTCGATTAAGATACCATACATTTTTTTTCTCTTCGTGAAAATTTCTTTCCTGCCCTGGTTCACCGTATTTTTAATACGCGTTGCAATTCCCGCCACCGATGTTGCGTTTACGATTTCATGCGCGGCAAGATTATGAGAAATGTTACACGGGACAGGGCAACGGACAAACGTATAGAACACTATAGAACAAGATGGCAATACCTTTTCGGGAATTACGAACACAGCTTGTTCGTCAGCCGAGTATTCGATACCCGAGACGCGTCGTCCGATTAGAATTAGATGTAATAATTGTTAACGAACCATCACGATTTTTTATAATTGGAATAACAACATTAACACCATTGTTCTTTTCGTACTGCACGAAGTACGTATGTAATCGCGATTGGATACTGGAAACAGACACTGATGTTTTCATCTTCCTTATGATTTTTGCGCCACTTTCAAACTACGGTCAGAAACAATCTTTTACACGGGGCACGCTTTTTAGAAATAAACGTACGTAATACGAAAATACTTTTCTCTGTTGCCCAATTTTCTATCTAAATGAGACAATTCGTTAATTATCCTTGTCGGTTTGAGAAAATGTCGAAAGAGGGGTATTGATTTCTATCGTAACAATGGTTCGTCATTAAAGGGATACACTGTTGCGAACACGATCGGAAGAAATTTGATTAATGTTTACCTAACAATATTTAAGTACTTTAAATGGTGCTGCCACCTGTTCACCGTACGACATTCCCAAGAATCGTTAAATTAAAACTTTACAATATGTAGTACGTACATGCATACGACGTTTTTAACCTCCATAAACTGGTGTAGCTCCTTGCCCGACTCTCCATGAGAGTATAAACACATCCTTTCGATATAATTATTATTAATAAAGGATGACTGTTTGGGAGAGACTGCGAAATCCTTGCGGTTGGAGGGCCGGTGCTAAACAAATTTCAGTCGATGCGATGATACCAATTTTTGCGGTTCCAACGTTAGCGGTGATAGCTGCACAAACGATGCTCTGTACTGTAATTATATTCGTCGCAACACCGTTATTGGTCTACTACTTGCATCACAATTTCTTGAGGTTTTTACTACGAACTAAATTTTTTCTAATGTGGACGATTACAAGCGTCGTCATGTTGATGCTGATATTTGAAACGAGTGTCGTACCCTTATTAGAGATCTTGCCAGAAGAGAATCTAATGTTTATAATTTGTGTCGTGGGAGGTATATCGTGTGGCTACAAGAGTAGACTAAACGCAGATTCCACCACTCAGGAAGGTGCCTTGACCACCCAAGGTTTAGAACTTGGCGAAGGAAGCGGAGAGCTTTGCATTACATGCAGAAGAAGGGCACCACCAAAAGCTCATCACTGTCGCATGTGTCAAACGTGTATTTTGAATAGAGAATATCATTGTAAATGGTATAGTCTTAAATTATGCAAAAAAAAAAAAAAAAAAATGGATTATATTGTATATATATACTCTTTATTTCAGGTTGGATTGTTGCATAGGTTCCAGCAATTTAAAATGGTATCTAGGATGTTTGTATTTCTCAGCCATAGCTTTTATCTATGGTTCCAATTTAACCATGACTAGTGTCTGCCATCCGTTTATACTTATTGGCACTGTCCTTTTACCGGATGATTGCAGCGACGTATATCATCAATTAGAGTATGTATCTCTTAGGTGTTATTTCATGTTGAACAGCTGTAATTAATTGGAATAGACAATCTGTTAAAATTAATAGTAATCGGGGATATAAAATGATACCCAGATGAAGCACAATACTTCTTGGTATTAACTCTCAAAACTAAACTGGAAAGATACCAAGAATCTACGATGCAAACTTCAATAATTGCATGATAGCGATAATTGTCCAGACTCGTGTTAAAGTCGTAAATATTGTAATATCTCTTATTTGCTTTCCACCAATATAAAAATTGAATAGATAACGTGTCGCGCAACTGTTTGCTTCAAGTACCCAGTTGGTATATAATGTACATATTGTTCCAGTATTGCTCTCTGCTTCATCTCGGCACTCTACAGCTTGCTCGTTGGTCTGGTGGTACTTTTCTATTTAGTATATCATCTTTGGTTAATTTATCTTGGTACAACATCGAACGAGCGACGTCTTCTTGAAGCTGGAAGTCAATATGATCATGGTACATTGAAAATTGTATCACGATTATTTTGCTGTAAAACTTAGATACTAAATGTAGACTAGAATATTAAATTTACTTTGTACGGAAAATATGTGGCAAAAACATCAGGCATAGCAGTACGTGAATCGCAATGTACGCTTTAATATTAGTTCGAGCACACCTTTCACTATTAATATACTTTTAACACTCGTTATTGTTTCCTTCTTTTACAATAACAAGATACTTAATACTATTAAGCTATTGCTCGTGGTATTGAACTTATTAATAACATATCGAGACATAAAAGTACTGATCTCCATTAAAAATATTAATCACCTTCGTTTCATTATTATGCGCATCATTTGTATATTTATTGTAACTGTGATAAAGTGGTCATTGTACGACTAACGTAATAAATTGTATTAATCAATTGTGTATAGTACATTTAAGATCTAAACTTGAAATGTTTAAACGTGATAAATGTTTGTATTATATCATTTTTAAAATATCGTTATATATACAGTTTTTGTATTTTAATTTAATATTATAACTATACTTTAATCCTCTAATGCTACGCCCCTCTGTTTAGGATCAAAGTCAGGAATCACAGTTTGCACCAATTGCCTCAACTCGTTTTTCCTTTTCTCGCTTTCTTTTATATGTACAGCAATTACAAGATACTTCTTCCACGTATGAAAATATCTCGTTTTTAAATTTAGTTCGTAATGATTGATGGCTAATTTTTTCTTTTTTTCATATTGTATTTTTAGTTCAAATGCTATTATTTTCCATGATTTGAAGTATCTATCTAAGAGTTTCATATTACAGAAATCAATGGCAACTTGGTAATTTAGTCTCGTCTCTTTAGCCATCTTCTTCCAATTCTCAAATACCTTTCTTATTAAACTTCTATTATAATAAACTTCGGCAGTTTCAATTATAATTGTGGATCGAGTCTCCGTATTTCCTTTCCGCGCTATAAATACTTTCCTTATCAAATTCTTCCTATAATGGTTATCTACCTTCTTAATATTACTTTTCTTTTCTTCAACCAGAATTATCAACGGCTCTATCACATAATGTCGCAGTAAGTATTTTCGATGAAATACGTCCGCCATATTGTTCAAATTTTTTAATTTTTCTATTTCCCGTTGTCGATTTTGTTCTTCCTCTTTCCGTTGTCGATTTCGTTCTAGCTCTTCCTGCTGTCGATTTCGTTCTTGCTCTTTCCGTTTTCGATTTCGTTCTTGCTCTTTCCGTAGACTTCTTGCTTGAGTTAGAGCCTGTTAATACATAAATCGAATCAAAAATTCATTGTATTGTTTGTATCGTGCACAACAGAACCGTCGTGTGGATATCAGCTACCCTTGTTTGAACTTACATATGACCCCTTCCCCCCTTGACTAGAAAACGATTAAAAACGTAAACATTCTTATAATCGCATTATAGTTATTACATGTAAATGTAGCATTTAAAAAATTAATAGACAGAACTATCGATAGATCAGAATACTATTCGACCTCGTGTTGTATTCTTCTATTCTTCTGTTCTTCTTCTATTCTGTCGGCTTCCGCTTTCCTCTCTTGTTCCTCCAATTTTTTCCTGCGCGATTCTTCGGCTAGTTTTACCCTCTTCCGTCTGGCAACTGCTCGAGCTTCCATTCTTAATAAAAATTTTGGTGGATCCGGTAATCGTCGAGGTACCACCAGACTTTCATCCCTTTTATAAAGACAAATGGAATCAATGTTAACTGCCATGAGTTTACATTGTAAATCGTCATGGAAATTTATAATACCTATAGCCGCTTTGTTGCATCAATTGTATTAAAGTTCTTCTTGTCCCTTGCCCACAGTGAGGGAGCATTTCTTTAACAATATTTACTGTATCTTTGGTCGTCCTGGATATTTCCTTTTGCGTTTGCGTTAGTTTTAATTCCTCAATCATCTTGTTCTGCTCTGTCAATTTGGCTCTCTGTTTTTCTATTATTCGTTTCTGGGCATTTAACCGACTTTGTGCCGGCGATTCGACAACAACGGGTTTACAGTATACGTTCTTTCTTCTTATATCTGCGTTACTCGATCCTTTTTGATCCTTTTGATCCTTTTGACTCTTCATCAATTCTTTCTGACGTTCCGTAATTGTATTTATAAACTTCTCGATCTTTCGTTCTTCCGAGAGTTCTTCCTTTTGGCTCTGCAACCTGTTCTTTGCATTCTTTGTACACATTCTCCAAATATCAAAGTACTTTTTCATTATCCTAGCAGCCATACTTTGTTGAATCTTCGTCTTAATGCCGCGAATTCGTTGCTCTTCCTTGGCATTTTGTTTCAGAGCATCAAAACATTTCCTTAAAAGACATAAACGTTGTGTATCTGATTCGAAATTAGGTTTGTCCTTGATTGTTACTTTTATACTTCTAACACATGATATTTCGCATTCTTCTGTCTTCGAGTTCTTCCCATCCTCTGCTTCTAAGGAAGAGTCATTAACTTCTGCTGTTGTGCTATTTTCTAGACGAGTCTCCATAACTCTTTCACCAATGCTACAATTTCTCTCAGACTTATCTCTGAAAGCTATCTACAAAAAAATTTATATATATTCAATTATCAATATACATATAATCAATTACAGGTCTCTTAATTGTGTAAAATTTATGCTAACTTTGTTTTTATTCCTCCTAGATGTTCTCCAAAAGTCTACATCATCAGAGGGTGCAAGGTTTCTTTTTTTACAGATATATGGTTTAAATAACTCTGACCTATATCTATGCAGTTCTGTTTCAAATTTCGTCAACTCTCGTTTCAGGAATCTCTCCTGTTTCTTCATGTACAATTCCTTCGTCTGTTCCTGCGTCAATAATCTGCAAAGCATACATTTTGAAATGCACGTTCAAAAGTTGTGTACTATATTACTTTTGAAAATACCTCTTGGCTTCCGCTAGAGCGGAATATTTCATGGACGAAACAGACAAATCCTCCCGAGGTATTCGATGTCTCGCATCCATAATTAAATTCGGATCGAGGAACGTCGTCTTCTCCTTGTCCCTTGACATTCGAAGTTTTTCCGATGATGAAAAAATATTTACTTTCGTAATTTGATCTACCAGATCAGTGACGTCGTTTGCGTGTATCATACTCGCATTCATTTCACAGAATAATCGCGTATTTGAATAAATTAAGCAACGATATTACATTTATGAGCATAGATATATCAAAAAGCCATTATTTGGCCCCCTTGTTGCGTTGTTGTTTCGTTGTTAAGGAAAGTTGTGAAAGATATCCCCTATACATGCAAATAAACCTGCCCAAACCTATTAAAAAACCAGGGGATGGAAATCAGTAGTATCGGATAACGAAATGCTACAAAGTCTTGCAGTGGTGCTTTGCATTAATGCCTGTCCATGTATGAAAATTAATTTTATTGCAGTTGATATTATGAATATTTAAACGGAAAATTCAATTGCATACAATTCGATAAATATTTTAATAAGGCGCACGGAACTATTTAATAATTGTGTATCGAATGTTAATTACTATTTGAAATATCTTATTCGAATAATTGTATGGGATCCACGCGGAAATGCAGGGTTAAGTCGCATGGCTAAGGGCCTCGACAGCAAATTCCCGATCCCATAAACTCCATAAGAGAAACATGGTTCAAGAGCTATAACAATTTATTCATACACCTTAGCCGGCTGCGTATGGCATCGGAACGAAAATCCCACGTTCTCGATTGCCATTGCGGCAATGCCACACGTGTGTGCGATATGCGCATCGGTTCGCGATAAGGAACACGCATAGGAAAACGTATAGAGCCATTCTACTAGTGTCCATTTTTTCTCGAAGAATAAGAGTCGCCCTCGTTTGGATTCGTTGTACAGCAGTAGCTGTTGCTTCCGCGGATGGCGCTACCGATGGCGTAGAGACGCCGCAATTGATTAGAAACCACTATTATAACAAAAATCGCATTACTTCAAATTCTGTATATCATCAATACGAAACTTTCCCGCCATTTCAGTGGTGCTCAATCAGCATCATGAGACTGATAACGACGATTGTTGACGAACCAGTGTACTGCAGCAGGTGCATCACACGACAAAAAGTGCATCGACTTCGAAAACTTATATGTCGAGAATGGTAAGTCTCTCTCTTTATAGGACACAAAGATTAAAATAATGTATACATACTTTGAACCCGTCGTGACTGTTATCGTAGCTTATCAGTACGTTTAAAGTTATACGAATGCAATCATTGTGGTTAAAGGAAGTTCGTTTCTTTCATTCGTTCTTTGACGGCAGAACTAACTGTACTCTCGAAGCACGATTTTAACAGGTAACTGATGTAATATTCCCGATACACGACGAGAAATAAAATGGATCCAAGGGGCCCTCCTGAGGGGGCCCCTGCTAACTCCTTCGAGATTCCAAACATTGATAAAGTGTCAGAGACTCTAGTAAATTGGCCCACTGATCATTCGCTCCCCACGTCAGTGTGCGAACAACCGAAAAAAATGAGTAATAAATTGTTGTTCTTAACTGTAAGTAAATAAATACAATTAGATTTTGATAAATTTTTTTTTTTTATAACTAACAATGTTTGAACCAATTGTGTTATTAGGTGGAGTACGTGGAAGATCAGTCCCGAGAATATTCTCGTTTATTTCCGACGTACGAACAGGTTTCATTTTCTCCCAGAGCTTCTTCTCCGCTTTCTGATTTTGAACACCGCGTTAGTCCTCTTGACCCAAATATGAGTTCGGCTGCTAGGTATTCGCCTACACCGGTACAACTTCCACCATCTCCTTTTCATAATTCTGTTGTTGTTCTACAAGGTCCTTCTTCTCCTTTAATATCTCCACCTGGGCCAAATGAAAGAACCAATGTAAACTATGTCTCTCAATTGACACATTCGATTGGTACACAGAGTGTACAACAGACAGATAATCCGACCGACTTTGTTGCCAATGAAAATGCAGAACAGTTGGTTTCTAGCGTTGGTAGCGAATTGATTTTGATGCAAGGTAATTCTTGATACAAACTGCTTTAAATATGTGATCACAAATTTGAATTTTATCCTATAATATGTAAAATACATTTACAGAATCTAATTCTGGATTAGAATCATCAACTGCCCCATTAATGCTAACAGGAATGCCAAGCACGGATTTTACATTGAGTAGGGACTTTCTTGTTATGCCAGATGACCAAATAAATGTTATAAATTCGTTTAAAACTCAGAACCTTGATGTGGACGAATCTATGCTCTCATCGACCGCAGAAAATTCCAACAAAGAGAATAACACGGATTGTTTAACACAGTTAAAAGAAGAGCAAGAAATTGATGAAATTTTAATCACCGCGAAAGAAGAGAATAATGTTGAGAAACAGAACGTTAGACGTTCTAAGCGTCGTATAAATGATAAAAAAAATTTTTGTACGTAAATTCATTATTTTTTTCACGCTATTATCGACGGCAGTATTAAATTTATGCTTTCCTACAGGTTGCGACGAATGCGACGATATCTGTATTGGGGATAATTGCTCTTCGCATAATATATGCACAATAGCGGATCAACCAGTACCGTCTCGTGCTATAGCAACACTGCCAGGATCGTATCTTTACATAAACAAATTGTCCAGTTCTGAAATTGTATTAAGCGGATCTGATTATGGAGTATTTGCAAAACGTTATATACAAAAACGTACTAGATTTGGTCCCATAGAGGGTATCTTGTATCCTTATGACGGTACTCCGTTTAAAAACCAATTGCCGTTACTTTATGAAACGGAAGACGAAGAACTTTTAAAAATAGATGTCTCGAATGAAAGTAACTATATATATTTAAAAAAGCTAATAAGTTAATCGGTTCGAAGGTTTAGTCCCTAAAATAATTGGCGTTACAGATGCTTCGAATTGGATGCGTTTCGTGAGACCCGCGTTATCGTATAAAGAACAAAATCTAGTAATTTGTCAACAACGCGATGGAATAGTATTTTTAACTACCAGGAGCATTTTACCAAAAGAAGAATTAAAGGCTGGTCCTAGCACCGATTATGCGATACGTCGAAATTTAACAATGCTAACACCCATGCAAGAAACTAAAGACGACAAAGGTATAGAAGATTTAAACGTAAATGTTTAAGAGTATGTCTGTACATATGTAATTTCTCATTACAGATTTCAAAAATCAATTATCTGCATGGCCACGACCGGAAGATAATCGATCCCGTCGTATGAAAGCATTTCGTGGCAGAAATTTAAAAGAGAAGGAAAACTCAAGACGAAATAATTCCAAAGAATGGAAATGTTCAGTTTGCTTATTGATATTTAAAAAGCCAATTTTACTTAACTTACACGCTCTCGTTCACGGTATCGACAAAATGACGACCAAAATTCACTCTACGGTTTGTCCACAGTGTGGATTACATTTTCAAAAGCAGAAAGAATTGATTAATCATATCTCGCAACATGGAAGATTATCTTTAACAAAAGCGAAAAGATTGACCTCTCTATCTACGTATAAGTGTTCAATGTGTTATAAACGTTTTGCTACGAAAGTACGATTACAACAGCACTGTTTGGTGCATGGTGCGGAAGACCAAAAGCCACTGCCATGCAACATTTGTTTCAAACGATTCATGAACAACTCGGCGCTATCTTGTCACTTAAAAACTCACAGAGGTAAATCATACTTGTATTAAAAACTGTCGTATAAAATACCACCGTTTCTGTCCATTTTATTTTTACATAGAAAACAAGCAAGTGTTCGAGTGCCCGATGTGTCGACAGCTATTTAGCCAAAGTATCGCGTTGAAAGATCATATTGAAACGCATAAGAAAGAGGATGGTACCTTTAGCTGCCCTTACTGCCAAAGAATATTTATTAAATATTCTGTGATCCGTAAGCATATTAGATCGCATCATTGCGAAAGAAAGCACAAATGTCAAGTTTGTGCTAAACGATTTGCTACGATCGACAAATTACAAATGCATTTACTGAAACATTCTGATCACAGGTATATTGAAATTTTTAAACTCCAAACGCGTATATTGCATTTATATTATACGATTATCTTTACCATTTTAACAGACAGTTTCACTGTGCAAATTGTGGGAAGCAATTTAAGAGAAAAGACAAATTAAAAGAGCATATAATGAAACTGCATAATTCACAAACGGCTACCGAAGAGCAAATGTCACGAGTTACACAAACGAAGAAATTCGTTCCAAAGGTATTTCCGAACGATTGATGCGATTTAATACGACGCATGAAGCTTTTAATAAGATACTTAACAATATGTGTTATTAATAGGTAAACCCTAACGACTATAACCGTTTCGTTTACAAATGTCACCAATGTCTAGTAGGGTTCAAACGAAGAGGAATGCTTGTTAATCATTTGGCAAAACGTCATCCCGACGTTGCGCCGGAGTCTGTACCAGAATTAAATTTACCAATTCTACGCCAAACGAGAGATTATTACTGTCAATACTGCGACAAGGTTCGGTACTATCTATCAATGCTTAGAATATATTGGCTTCTATTCAGCTAATATTATTTTTGTAACGTTTTAAAGGTCTACAAAAGCAGCAGTAAACGTAAAGCACACATTATGAAAAATCATCCAGGCGCTGCTTTGCCACCGAGCAATAGACAGAAAGAATCTGTATACTCTGATCTACCGAATCCAACATTTAGTCAAACGGTTGGTAGTATTACAACCACGCCTCAGGGTTGTCAGTGGTGCCACAAACAATATGCTAGCAAAGTAAGTTTCAAATGGTAATTCGTTAAATTCGATAAATTCGATAAGTTAATTCGTCTTTCGTAGGCAAAACTTTTACAACATCAACGTAAGAAACATTCGAATTTGATGGAACCCGCTGATCAAGTTCCGCGGTCACGTAATCGACAGTCTCAAAATCAAAATCAACCGCCCGTACTTATCGAGGATCACTTCGTGCTATCTGATTATATCCAAGCGTGCGATACAGATTCGGATTTCTTCAAACCGAAAATAATAAAAATATCTAACGACGTTGATCTTATAAGTAATGGATTGGAACTTGTTGGACAACAATTTGTTCGTATGCGTGACATACGTTGAAAAGATCCGCGGCAACCTCGTCGCGAGGTCTTGTCAATTTATTGAGATATGAATCTCATGACTTTGTGCACAGTTGAGGTACACTGTGCTTTTTGCTGCCGTTGCCACGTCGGGGCATCGTTGCCCGCAAGGTGCAATCGATGCTCAACGGGGAAATATTTGGTACGCAGCTTTGTTGGCGTCAGTGCGAAACACTTGGCGCTAGTTTGTTGGTTGTACGGTTGACAATGACGTCACTACCGTCATTCGTGTTGGAACGGAGTTACACACTATTTTACGAAAACTTTCGAGCCATTGAAGGTAAACACAAGAACAAAGGTTTAAATTTAAAAACACAACGAGAAACATAAACATGGAGATTTAAGACTAAACACAATGGGAAACATGTAGTTATTGAGATCTTTGCTCAAGGTATTAACAAGTACGGAGCGCAAGAACGTAGAACAAGTCCTTAATATCGTCGGTACATCTCTGACATTCACTCTAGTAGTTTCTTTTTAAATTTTAAAAAAGCTTTCGATTCGATGTGACACAATTATGGATGTTAGAATGGTCGGATTTGAGCGTCAGGTTTAAAGTGAAATTTAAACTCTGCTTAAATTTGGAGAACGCGATTCTGCTGAATTTTAGATCGGTGTAATCCTCCTCTATATGATGCGACTTTTTTTTATAGTACTGATCGTAGTATCTACATGTCACGTTTGGCTTTGATGATGAAACAATTGTCTGTAGATTACACGAGATGTTGTAGTCTATAAAAAATCGTTCACGTTTACTCTCTGGTACATCGCAATATCCATGTCACGGTTGCTTATATCCGTCGTTATCGTTTACAACAAAATAACTGTATTTTCAGTCTAATACCCATCATCGAGTGGATTTATTTTTCGGCAATATCGCGGCAATTTAATTTCGTTCGCACAATTTACCGCGACAGTTTTACATCCATCACCATTTACCGAATTGAAATATTTGGTTGAAATTGAAGGTACTACATAGTTACTTAGACAGGGAAAACTTTTGTCTTTGTAATCTTCCAATGCATGTAAAATCTATAACATAAGGGCAAGGTTTGTTCCGCGCATCTTTGCCAATCCATCAAATTTCCACTTAGACGTAATTTACTGTAAACACTATAAATCACGGATTCCAGAAGCGTACTTCATACATTACAGATTGGCAAAAAAAAAAACAATTCAACATTTATTTTACATGCATTATATACTCATAATATACGTATTATGGCAATACGAGGACAAAAGAGTGCATGTTTGTTAATGTTGTTGAGTACATGGAGAACTGTATTGTAAACGACTTAAATAAAGTTACTCAATAACTGATGCGTGTACGGTTCACTATACTAGAAAATTTCTCGACCAGGCGAAGTTTTCGTATGGCTGGTACTCTCACTCGTGACACTAAAATCCGTTCACCTGTCTCTGGTAACTTTACTCTGAAACTTTTCGCAGACGATAGCCAAAGGACCGACAGCATCGGGCTCGAGTATGGCCGCGTTGGATACTGTTCCGATCAAGCTACCCCCCCTTAGCGACTCGGCCGTTTCTTCTAACTGTTTCTGCATTACGGTTAAAGAGACTTTGTTCGCTGAGAAGAAATCCTGCATGGAAATCATCTCTCCAGACATCCTTCTAGGCGTTCCAGAGCTATCCCTCAAAGAATCTCGTCCGAAGATTCTGGTACCCCTCCTTTTCGAAAAATACATTCTAGACACGGAGGACTTTCTTTTTGGTAAACGCGGCGCAGCGTTGTCCCCGTTTCCGCATCGCGTCTTTCGTATAACGTAATTTAACCCCTGTTTTATTACGATCGACGTCACGTTCAACAGAGAGTACGTACAACAGCAACCGGTCAGCAGGAATACAAAGTTAGCGAAACGGTACCTGCAACATGAATCAATGACTGACAACAGTTCTCCGATTAATATAAAATTAAAAACTTGAACGATTTTAAATTTAATAAAAGTATTCCATCATTTATACAGGGTGTTAGGCCATTTCTGGGAAAAATTTTAATGGGAGATTCTACAGGCCAAAATAGGGCAATTTATAGATCATAAGCTTCGTTAAAAAATTTCAAATTCTTTACGAAAAAATTATTTTCGGTTGCGGGGGTCAATTATCATCATTTTTGGTGAATAGACATACCCTCGAAATCCTGCGCATTTTCAAGAAAAAAATTCGAGAATGTGTGAAATTTTCGACGGAAAAAAAAATTTCAAATCGTTCTGGAAAAATTATTTTTGTTTGTGGGGGTCAATTACAATAATTTTTGGTGAATAGACATATCCCCGAAATCCTACCCATTTTCTAGAAAAAAATTCGAGAAGGTGTGAAATTTTTCGACGGGAAAAAAAATTTCAAATCGTTCTAAAAAAATTATTTTCGGTTGCGGGGGTCAATTTCAATAATTTTCGGTGAATAGACATATCCCCGAAATCCTACTCACTTTCTAGAAAAAAATTCGAGAAGGTGTGAAATTTTTCGACGGGAAAAAAAATTTCAAATCGTTCTAAAAAAATTATTGCTGGTTGCGAGGGTCAATTACCATTATTTTTGGTGAATAGACATATCCTCGAATTCCTGCGCATTTTCGAGAAAAAAATTCAAAACTGGCGGAACTTTAAACGTTAATGACTTTTTAACAAAGCTCTAGAATCTTCCGTTAAAATTTTTCCCAGGGGTGACCGAACATCCTGTATAATTTGCAGATTGTTCGAACTTGGAACGTACCAATGAGCATACGGATAATGGGTTTTCTCGATGCTGACGAAGTCTCCGAAGCCGATGGTCGCGAAACTAACGAAACAAAAGTACAGAGCGTCCAAGTATTTCCAATCTTCGAGGGGCGCGTAAACCGCAGCGGCGCAACAAGCTACAATACAACATAATAACGATAAATGAAACATAACCCAGTATATACTCGGTTTCCACAGGTCCAGGTCTGAATCCTCGTCGTGGTCGTCGAGTATGTCCGGCAAAGTAGCTGCCCGTGATGATGCCATCGAGTACTTCCGGATGCGTCTTTTTAAGCGGTGCGTGTGAAAGTTGCGCAAAATCCGAGCGAGGAACGTGATGATCTTCTCCAGAAACAAGTTGAAGAACAGAATCCCACCTGTGGCGTGACACGGTTACGAAAAATCAGGCACAACTATGTTTCAACGTTCAAATAGGGGAAATCATTACCGGAACAACCAAAAAATCCGTACAGAATCACGGCTACTTTGCCCATCGTCGTCTGCGGCGCGGTATTTCCGTATCCTAAAAAAAAAAAAGAGATTCAGATTTGAATTTCTAAACGATCTGTAAGCAGGAGTGCAATGCAACGTGCGGGTCTTGAAGGGATCGGAGAGGAATACTAGGTCGCAAGATATTAACATTCTGGAATTTCCTCGTATGTTTGTGCGTGTAACGGACAGTGACCCGTTGCTTCTATATTCCACACTGTTGAGAGTCAAGCTTCGCGCGATAGAAATCAATGTTAATAAATTCACTCGAGCAACTGGTCAAGAAAATGCCCGAATACTCAAGACAGTCGTCTATATCGAAAATGTTTCGAAAGAGGGTAAAGAGAATCGTAATAAAGTACTACGTGTCTTACGTTCCACTGACCCATTATTCCGGTTCATTTGCACGATACGAATCGAGGCGTTTAGAATTCGAAATAGGCCACGACGTTGCATCTCTTACCGATCGTGGAGACGATGGTACCGACGAAATGAAAACTGCCAGAAAAATCCCATCGGCGATTCTTGTTGATGATGCCGGATGACGAGGCATTTCCGTAAGCGTACAACAGTTCGTCGAGCCTTTCAACAGCCACCGAACCGCCTCGCAGATGATGTCTTCGAAATGTATGGTAAATGCGCCAATATTCCGCACCCTATACACAATAAACGGAAATTTATTTATACGTTTGGTCCATTGGTCTCGATGCGAAAAGTTGGAGTCAATACACTCGGAACAATTTACGGAAATTTTTACGAGCACAATTTTTGAAAGATGAAACGATTTCTCACCTGTCGTATTTCAAGGTCGGATTCCAGTCGCTGGAAGAGCGCAGCACCAGCGAGCATGTACACTGCCAGGACAACGAAAAGAAGGACGAACCTTGCGTTCTCCTCCCCGAGGCAAGTGCACACGCACATCACCGTGTGATCCTTATTTATCTTTCTCTCTGGACACAAGAGACCGAGACGCGACCCCTTCTCTTCGCCTTCCACCCGGATCGCCGCGGCGCATACTCGGCGACGAGCATTCGCAAACATCTACGGATGCATCGTCGATTCATATCTCAGAGATGCATTAAAAAACTGTTCGAAACTGTCCATTGTAAAAAATGATTAATTTCGTAATTTTTAACGAGTTCATTTCCAATACGAATTCATACAGAATTAACTTAAAAAAGTTTTAATAAGTGAAATTTAGTCTCACTTGCATCTTGGTATAATCATGCTGTAATAACGCTATAGGAATTCTCATAGGACGGGAAACTCTAAACATTTCTCTTATCGTAATAATCATCGACTGTCCGGTGTAACTTGCGCGAATATAACTTTTTCTTATGGAGATACATAATAGATAAATTAAAGATGTATTATAATAGATAAATTAAAGATATATTATAATAGATAAATAAAGATATACTCGCATCCAGTTACTAACGTTCAAGACACTCGATGTATCAGTTTAGAAATGTAACAAATTACAGAAAGTGACGTGACAAAAGGATGTACAAAGGTAAATTAAATCGAGTTTATAATACAAAATAAAGTTTGTTAACAGTTCATGTGAGCAATCCACGGGCGCCACGGTCTTTACATATATAAATACTGCAAACTACACAAAATGACTTTTAAATCGGAATACTCGTAGGTACATGCGTATAAATCTATGAAATTTACAACATTTGCATTAGCTACTATAATACTATTAGGTGCACTACCCGAGTAAACGATTCGTGTAACAACGTTTACCCTACGATACGACAAATCACGTTTACAGTACAATAATAATCAATGCCTCGTTTGTGGACCTTCCTCCAACTTCCGCCAGACAACCTAGAACAAAGATATAACAATTTATATAAACAATTACGCTTCGTTCCACTCTGTATCAATTTCGAAACCTAAAAGCTTACATTACACATTTCTCTGACCAGAGCCTTTTCGCCGTCGTGGCCGCCTTCTCTTTCAAGCTGTTCCCTGACTTCGAGAACCTGAAGAGCCCGTACCACCGCTTCCGGTCGACCACCCAAGTGCGGATTCTCGCTGGAATTATTCGGATTCTCCCAAATCTCGCCGGACGGTAGCTCCCAACCTTGCGCTCGTGCCTGCAGAACACTTTTATCCTCTTCCAGCTGTTTCACCCGTTGCTCCAAACTCCTCACGTACTGCATCGTCTGATCTGCAAAACGATTTCGAATCTGGAGCTTCGATCAACGACATTCGGTCAAAAGTATCGTTCACGCGAATTGCTTTCTCTTCGAAGAAATTACCGTTAAACGTGGACGCGTGTCTAGGCCTCGGAGGCACGGTTTCCTCGGCGTTGGTGCTCGAACTCGAACCATCCCCGTCGTCCCTCTGACCCCCTCCTCGTTCCTCGTCCAAATACAGGCAGAGTTCTTTCAGCTCCAGATTATCCTTGATCAACTCCTGCTGCTTGTTGTCCAACTGACGCAACTTATTTTGATACGCGGAGACTTCCTGGCGCATAACGCTCGCCGTGTACCTTCCGAATCTCTGCCACTCCCTCGCCAACTTCCGCCCCTTTTGACGATCGTCGTCCAGAAAACAACAGAGATCCCGTAGCTCTTGATTATCGTCGCTTAATCTTTGGTTTGCCTCCTTCAACGCACGCAACTCACTCAGCTGAAATCAAATCAAGCTTCCCTTACCAACTAGACGCGCGTAGAGATAAAAAAGAAAAGGGCGAAGCTCGTGAGGCCCCGACGTGTCGTGTGTGAAAAAGCCACATGCAGTTCGCTGTCCCTGGCCCAGATACACCAGGTAGCGGATGTAAATACAACTTATCTATATTGTGCAACAACCGAGCTCATTAGAAACGAATAAAGGAAATTCACTGCTGCACGTATGCTCGCATTGTGACTCTGTTTGATTTGCACGAGTACTGTACCCTTTGGACCATTACTCTTTACTCTCTTTACAAATCACATCTGTACGTGTTTCGAATATTATTATTCGGTGGGAAAGGTTCAGCGTAGGTTCCTCTGCAAGTAGGACATAAATTCACTGCCGCACGTATGCTCGCATTGTGACTCTGTTTGATTCGCACGAATACTGTACCCTTTGGACCATTACTCTTTACTCTCTTTACAAATCACATCTACACGTGTTTCGAATATTATTATTTGATAGGAAAGGTTCAGCGTAGGTTCCTCAGCAAGTAGGACATAAATTCACTGCTGCACGTATGCTCGCATTGTGACTCTGACTTTTGAAAACGCGTTTGATTTGCACGAATACTGTGTACCCTTTGGACCATTACTTTTTACTCTCTTTACAAATCACATCTATACGTGTTTCAATATTATCTATATTGTGCAACAACCGAGCTCATTAGAAACGAATAAAGGACATAAATTCACTGCTGCACGTATGCTCGCATTGTGACTCTGTTTGATTTGCACGAATACTCTACCCTTTGGACCATTACTCTTTACTCTCTTTACAAATCACGTCTACACGTGTTTCGAATATTATTAATCGGTGGGAAAGGTTCGGCGTAGGTTCCTCTGCAAGTAGGACTAAATTAATGCTGGAAGCAAGTTGACTCCGTGTCGATTCATCTTTTAAATGTTACTTCTCTTTTCAAATGTGGGGGGAAAAAAATCCGCGACTCACCAAGCTCTGTATCTGTCGGTTCTGCTCGGCGGCGAGCCTCGCGATGTCGGTTTCGGTCTTGCGAACGAACTTGAGCATCTCCACGGGTCCGAGTCTGAGGAACTCGTCGTCGGTGATCCTCTGTCTGATCGGCGGCGTTTGGGCGGGATTTACCGTGGGAGGATACTGACCGTTAGGTGGCAAGTACTGACCTTGGCCGACCTTGGCCTGAAGGTAACCGTGCGATTGGGTTTTCGAAACAGCCGTCGCGAGCGCCGCGTTACCGCCCTGAGGATGATGCCGGTGCTCTATCCTCGGCGAGTATTTGCTTTGAGCATCCTTCTGCTGCTGTACTGATCGTTGTTGCGTCGTCTGGGAATGATGATTCAAAGTCACCGTCGGACCTTGAACGCCGGTCGATACCGTGGTCGATACGGAAGCGGCTGTACCAAAGTGAGGGTGATTCTTCAGGATGCCGCTGGTGGGCTGCGGAGGCGGCTGATAACGCGGCGGCACTTGCTCCACTGCCGTTGACTTGATCACGTGCAGCGGATGCTGCTGCTGCTGCTGCTGCTGCTGCGGCTGGGACTTACTCTTATTGGACATCGCGGCTAATTTAGCTCCAGGCAGCGCCGTGTCCCATTTCAGAAAGTCCACCACCGTGGTTTCTTCTTCGTGCCGGCTTGCCTCGTTCGACCCGTTGAAATGTGGGTCAACGTGCGGTTCCTTTCTCGCTCTCCTGGACACTCTCCTCTCTCTTTTTCTCTCTCTGTCAAGACCGGACTTGCAACAAGAGGTCCCCAGGTGTAACGATCGGTTTTGTTAATCGGCTTTACCACGGCGATAGTAGATCTTAAGAAACTATGGTCCCCGATTTCGAGGAACCTATCCTTCCGACCCTATCGAATCTAGGAATTTTTTTACTTTATATCAACTTACTCTACGCAGTGGGCCCGCGGACCGCGAATCGCGTATGCTTCGCAACATTTGAGAATGCGGCCCCCGGCTGGGAGCTTGAATTTTATTTAAATTTTTATCTTTCACAGAGGACAGACCTTGCATGATCTTGAAAGCTACTCTTCGATCTTAATACGAGCTATCATGAACATATATTGGTATGGAAAAAGAAAATTCTTGATTCATCTGAAATGATCACTATATACCCTTTCGAATAACTACCAAAACTTTAATTTTGTTTCCTCCGAGTTTCAAAGTCGATCAAAAGTACTAGATTGCACTTTATCCACCGACTGCATGTAACACTAGAATCGTTCAATAAGTCCTTAGAAAATCAAACACCTGGGGCTCGTTGCACACTGTGCAGTTTCGATGGTCAAAATCGTGGAATTAAAGTTTAATTTCCAAGTCATGGAATTTGGCCCCCAGTTACTTCTTTTTTATTTCTAAACTTTAAAAAATGGCTCTTCGGACAACGGTTCACGAGAAAGTCACCGCCTATTTTGAGGACCTTCAAAAATCTTACTTATTAAACGCTTGGAAAAGTGTATAGGACTAAAAGGGGATTATGTTGAAAAATAACAAAAAAATCAACCTAAAATAATCTATTTTTCTATCTTTTAACCCTCGTAAAACTTTAACGTTAAATATCTAATAAACTGTTAACCTGAACCTGGGTATCATTATCTTCAGTTTCTTACGATCTATCACACCGAAGTCGATCCGCGTTCTAACCCGGGGGACCTCTTCTACTTAATACTTAAGAGCTGCCCGGTCCCGATAGCCCGTGTCTTACCTTATCACCCGACAGGTCCGTCGCTCGAAACCTCTATCCACTCTCGACCTTTTCTCCCGTATGCACGTCTTCTTCGACACTGTCGCGCGATACTCTAAGACATTGTCCGCGTCGAACGTTCGCGAGATCCGTAAAAATTCTTTCGTCGAACCCTCCGTACGCTACGAACGAATTCCCAGTGTTCCGTGCGTACGCGTGCAACCTTGGTTTCTGTCACGGGTATTAAAGAGTCGGCGTACTCGCGTTACGCGACAGCTCCGAACGATCGCTCGGTATGCCTGCGTTCCATCTGTCAGCGACGATCGGGACGACCATGCCCGCGTGCATAGTGCCGTACGAGTGAACGAAGATACTCTGGACGTAGATCACTTGGTAAAACGCCTTGGTTTCGAGGCACTAGTTTCGTACGTTGTAAAAGTATACCGAGTACAGCGACGATATCGCACTCCCGAGAGCTAATGCGCTCGGTCCGCTTGGTCGCGGTCGGGTCGGGCCCCCGTTTCTCTCGCTGCTGGCCCGCTGCATTTCACAAGCCCCAGTGCCGTAACACCGAGTGGGGCACTCCAGCGAGACCTTGTCGTCCGTGACCGTATCCTGGCGAATAAGCTTTCACGCGCATCTCGTATCCGATCGTATCGCCGATCAATATTCCCTCTAGTTCTTTTCACTTATAATTAATCCGTAGGCATACCGAGAGAAACGGATAGATCGTTCAAGTTGCTTCGATACTCCCGCGCGATCGTTGATTTTCGAATTCTAGGCCGTATCTTTGCATCGAATCACGGAATCATTCTTGCGTCACTTACGAGCTTGCGATCGTTCGCCACTGTTCGATGGTCGTATGCACGTATTTTCGTATGAAAATCCCGCATTAACAATATGGCGGCGACCGGACGACCGGGGGCCCGCAATCTTGGAAGAGATTGCTGACGATGGTAGGGCTTTAAGGTTACGACGCGAACTTCTGATTGGACCATCCAGCGTCCTGCAGGTGGGGATTCAACAACGTATATTACCTCGTAGGAGTTTGAAAGGAACAGAATCTAGAGGCTGTGAGAGACTCGACTCTTTCAACGTTAAACTCGTTAAAAGCGAGAACGGTGGTTCTCCGATCGTGTGAAATTGTATAGTCTTGCGTCAAAGATTTTCGTGTCGCTCGCGATATTACCAACAAGTTACAGAAACGAACGCTAGAGGAATTGAGACAGAAAGTGAAATTACGATTCAGAGTTGGGCATTAATTTCAGTGGAGTGATCGTTTAAAATAAATATATATCTTATAAATAATAACTTGATCACCAATTAAGTACTGTTTAGAGTTTGTGTTCTAACGAACCTAACTACTGACCACGTTAAAAATCACAAGTTATACAGCGCACTCTGTGTTTAAGAACAATGACTCTGAGAATCATCGTCGTCGGTAACGTCAGCAAATTCACAAAGTTTGCTTCTGATACGATATCGACAAAAGTTTTGATCAAAGATTATTTACGCATTGCACGGTCGTATGATTCTAAAGTCAAGATACTTTTATCACAGACGAAGTATACGAGTAGACCTTTCAAATAATTTATTTTTTCGGCCCGTTTCTCTGGGGTCTCGAGACCCCATTACCATTTCCATGTCACTCGCAACGTTACCAACAGATTTAGAAATTAACACAAGAGGAAGTGAGACAGAAAATAAAATTACATAAATTTTATTATTTTTTAACGGAATGAAAGCTGTACGGTCCAGAATTGATCATCGATCGATTAATTTCATTGGAATAACCAATCGATTGAGATTATTTAAAGATTTCAAAATTATTAAAATACGTAAGGATCTCATTGATAAATACACCGCAAATCCTCTATTTTTTATTTTAAATTGTAATATATTATTTGATTTAAAAACTAACTCGGCAAAAACGTATTTGCGACTCGAAATCAGTGTTATTAGACGGCACACCAGGACGAAGAAGGTACGTGGAACTATAAGAAGAACGCAGCTATTAGCTCATATTATTTGCTATGTAATTAATAATTATATTAATTATATAGTAAATAATATGACCCAGGTCTCACCGCGAGGAGGTTGCTGCGAATGGAGACCCGCCCTAGCCTCGCCCCAACCACCCTTCCTTTGGCGAGGAATTCGAATATCTATCCAAGAGAGAAGCTATCGAAAAGTTGGAAACGAGTTAGAAAAGGAGAGTTCTTAAAAGAACTGCCCAATCAAGAGACGAAGAACCTAACAAAATGTCAATACATGTGAGATGATACACATGTTTTCTAAAAACGAAATTGAAATGTGCAACTGCACCTACGAACTCCGATGAAGAGATCGAAAACCTAACAAAATGTTGATACATGTGAGACAATCCAGCACATGTTTTCTAGAAACGAAATTGGAATGTGCGACTGCACGTACGAATCCTGATTACTAAAGTACCAATATGTACTTTATTATTAACTGTTCCTTCTTAAATAACAAGATACTCGTACAAAACGAAGAAAGGATCCTGAAGATCCAACCAGAAATGTGCAACTGCACACGTACGGACCTTGCATATTAGAATACTAATATGTATCTTAATATTAATCATTCCCACTAAAATTTACGCACACGTTTCGGTAATATTTAATAAACGGCAGGAGAACGCTTTTTTATCTTATAATCTATATACATTTGTACTTATATTCCAACGCAATCGGTAGAAACATGAAGAAATATGAGGAAATATTTTCTTCTTGGTGTCTTCATCGATCCCACGATGTTTTTCTAAAACATACACTCATATACAATAAATATAACCGATATAAAACGTAGATATGACAAGATATTTTCTTCTCGGTGTCTTCGACAATCCCACGATGTTTCCCTGAAACATAAACTCATACCCAATAAATATAACTCATATAAAACGGAGAAACATGAAAAGATATTTTCTTCTTGGTGTCTTGATTAATCCCACGATGTTTCCCTGAAACATAAATCAGACAATAAATAAAATTGTATGAAATATTTCCCTAAGAGCGATCAAGATGGAATCCGTGTACAATTTCCAATTCCATTCTTCGATGATTATATATCCTGTAACAAGAACTTGTTCAAAGAATTAATAGCTGAAATGAAAGTGTATTAATGGACACAGAAAAAAATAATTATGTACCGTCACGATAGACTCATGGTAAGCGATCATAGTAAAAGTGATATGAAATTAATATTTTAAAAAAGTTGAAAAACATAAATATTACGTGAAAATGAATGCAAAGTTAAATTCGTCTCAGTGTTAAGATAAATAAGAAATAGATTGAAAATTTTATTCATCTGTTACCGTAGATTTTATTTTTCAAGAAAAAAAATTTCAAGACGTATACATTGCAATAATTATATTTTACTGTATTCAAAACTAAATTACGTTCATACAGAAAAAGCAATAACGAACGAAAATGTCGATTCTACGCGGAAATTAATTCTCAATATGAAATATCGAATTGCAATTTGCATATCCTTTTGATGCAAGCATTCTATTTTCCATCGATTAAAACAATGATCGCGAACAAACTTTGATTTATGCAAAGAATACAGAATATTTATAAAAAATTCGCTATTTATAAATAACAATTAGATTGCAAACGCTATTATATCCCGTAAAAATTACCAACTCTAAGAATGAATAATTAGTGATATAGATATCTATATAGCAATCATAAATTCAATATACAATAAAATTAATCATAATATAGAATTTTTAAATGCATCACAAATCTGTGATGAAAATACATTCCCATATATTACAGATTTTAACACGTTACGAAGAATAAAACAATTGGTCTATTCACAACAGTACTTTAAAGCAGTATTTCTTTTGAGAATAAACTCATAATTGGAATAAACGTCCACTCGTTTTAAATTCAAACAACCCGTGAGTGGACCATTCTTTCTTTCGCAACGCTAATTTATAAAATAAAAAACTATACGCGAATGGTGC